TTTCCTCCGTGGGCCCGAGATATGGCAATGGTAGTTAGCAGCTGGCGAGATGCGCAGGAGGATGTGGCCGGGGGCGGCCCCGCCGGAGCAGCTCAGCCGGGCCGGGACCCGCAGCAAGGGGCCTCCGCCGCCCCCCACACCCCGCAGACGCCGAGCCAGCCGGGCGCCCCGTCCACGCCGGGAGACAAGGGCCAGCAGCAGCAGCAGCAGCAGCAAGGCGGGGGGCAGAGCGGGCAGCAGCAGCAGCAGCAGCACATCGAGTGCGTGGTGTGCGGCGACAAGTCCAGCGGGAAGCACTACGGGCAGTTCACCTGCGAGGGCTGCAAAAGTTTCTTCAAGCGGAGCGTCCGCCGGAACTTAACGTACACTTGCCGAGCCAACCGGAACTGTCCCATAGACCAGCACCACCGCAACCAGTGCCAGTACTGTCGCCTCAAGAAGTGCCTCAAAGTGGGCATGAGGCGGGAAGGTGAATATTTCTTCCCTATCTTTCTCCGGCGTGTCGTGTGTGTCCCCCACAGCAGATCGCCAGAAGGGGGGGGGGAGGAAGAGAGAGAGAGAGAACCGCTGGTGCCCCCCTCTTCTCCGAGCCCCCCTCCCCCCCCCCTGCACGGCATACAGCCCTCCTCAGAGAGCGGGTGGCTAGCGTTAACACGTTATTTCCTGGCCTGTATTATTATTACTAAGGAAAGCACCATCCAAAGTGTATCGAGAAGGTCCTGTGCCACACCATGGCTCCTTCTCTATTGTTGGCTTGGAGCAGGGGAAGGGAATCCAGAGCTCTCGATCTTGGGATCACATTTCTCTTTGGGTTGTGGGTTCCCCACCAAAAAAAAGCAACAGAAAGGGGAAGGAATCCTTTAGTTAGATCCATTTGGGGCCATCTCCCTTTTTTAAAAAAAGAAAGGAAGACCTGTCACCTGAAAGCTGAAAGAGATGCATGGGGGGGGGGATAATATTGGCAAGGAGGGTTTTTGGGGGGAGGGGTGTAAAAGGCTGCTGCTCATGTCGCTGCTTTCTTGCACTCCCCTGATCTGCTAGTCTGCCTCTCGCAAGATCCGGCCTTGTTTTGACTGCCTCGTGCTTTCAAAGGAAAGTTTGTGAGCCGTCAGTGCTTTCCCAGTTCCGTCATTTTTGTCCCTCTTTGCATGCTGTTCATTTGATTTCTTTGGCCATCTCTTTCAATGCTGCACCCCAACTGCAATCCAAGACACCGTTCCTGGCCCACCCCCCACCCCACTTTTTAAACCATAACACTTCACCCGGCTCTGGAATGCAAGTGCTCATCCTTCCAGAACAAAATCAACACCGCCAGTATTATAATTCCCACAGCCTTTTCCAAAGGGGGGGGGGTTTGTTTTTGTTACCTTGTTCTCTGTCCCCCCCCCCGCAGGGTTAATGGCGTGGCGTGTGTTAATGTCTTTATTTTATTTTGCCCTTCCACCTGTTTAGCAGTGTGATAGTTAAAATTGGGCTTCCTGGCTCTCTTTAAGGATGTCTTACAAGTCAAATGTGGCAAACTGTCAGTTTTGTGCAGTAAATGGCTTTCAGAATAATATTTTACCTACCCCACAAGAAAGAAAGGGATTTCTTTAAAACTGGCCACTGACGACTTCGTTTGTCGCATTAGGGAGTTGTTGATAGGAGAGGAGACTGGGGATATACTTACATGTCCGTGAGTAAGCACAGAAAGAGAGAGAGAGAGAGAGAGAGACATAATAGGGCACTGTCTATGAACGGTGTTTGCATTTAATTGAAAGACAAAAGTGCCAGGTTTGTAAAGTCTAATTTTGAGCTGGAGGAGAGAGTCTGACAGGTCCATGGGAACATTATATTTTCCCTGGAAAAAGGAGGATTTACTCCGGAAAAGACTGCAGAAAACACCCCGCCCCCACGAAATGGAAAATATTAATTTTCTGAGCCTTACACTGTGGTGGAATCCTTGCCTCGAGTTATCTTTGTTTACATGGCAGGAGCCTGAATTGCTGGCCTTGATTAAGTACCCCCCCACTCACCTCACTCCCGCGCACACACTCGCAGACACACACACACAAGGACGCGCGCACACATACTCGGACACGCAAACTTTGCTCAGCTTCAAGAACTCCAAGCCTGCTTGCATTTTGGGTTGGGATAGTTCCTGAAGCCCGTTTCCTCAGCCGTGGCCAGCTCGCGCCTTCACAGGGCTGCCTTTTTACAGCTCCACCAGCCAAAGCAAGAACTTAATCCTACCCCTCCCACTTTGACACTCATGTTTGGATTCAGTAAGTCTGAATCTTATTATTTTTCGCTCTTTTTTAAAAAAATAATAACAGCAATAACACTCCTTCCCTTACACTTCGGATAGGGAAAGCTTTCTTGAAACCGGGAGAGGGTAGCCTTATTTTTAATATGTCAAAAGTTAAGCTGAACTCTAGTTTTAAGAGGCAGTCATAGGGAAGATTGGAGGGTCCCGTCCTCCCCCCCAAAAAACCCCAATAAGCACATTTTTAAGCCAGGGTTTGCTGGTTAGATAGAGTAGAGACTTTGCTGGGTGGCCTTTTGGAGCTCTGAGCGGCGGCTCGGCTGAGAGGCTGGAATGGCTTTAGGGGCCTCTGGAAAACCTAAGTGAGACCAAGGAAGGGAAGCAGGGACTGTTATAGCGGGGCTGCTTTCTGCATTATTATTATTATTATTATTATTATTATTATTATTATTATTATTATTATTATTATTATTATTATTATTATTATTATTATTATTATTATTATTATTATTATTATTATTATTATTATTATTATTATTATTCCTTGCCGTGGAGTAGCAAGGTCCCCATTTGCACAACAATGCAAGTCCGGGGCTTGCATTGTGCGCGTCTCTCCCCTCCCCCCCCATTTGTGTGTGT